ATATTTATCACAGTCTGATCCTAGGATCCACATATGAGGGAGAACATGTGTCGATTTTTTTTCTGAGATTGTGTTACTTCACTTAGTATAAAAGTTTCTAGTTCCATGAAATGGAGATCTTTTTAAAGGTTAAAGAATCATTCAATTTTTATGTCTTACAGGGTTTATACTCAGTTCAATATTGTACATCTTAACTGTACTAATTCAACTGTGAACCTAAAAATTCACAGCCACTTTTGAAAGAGATATATCTTTGCTCTGGAAATTGTTATTTAACATGTTAAAGCTGAAATGAAATGCTTCTTCTAATCATGTGGTTATTAAATTTTAAAAACCCAGGAAAAAATTAAATCCAAATGGAGAACATTAACATGTTTCTGGCCCTTTTAAATTGAAAGTATACACTCCTAGAAGATGTTTTGTTAAAAGTCTGATTCATTTCCCTTTAGTACAAAGCACCTGCTTAGTTCTGACTTTTTTAATATTTTATGTATCATTTTTATTTTATGTGTATGAGTGTATTGCCTGCATATATGTAAGTGCACCCTTGCGATGCAACTGGAGTCATAGATGGTTGGTAGTCACCATGTGAATTCTGAGAATAGACCCCAGGTCCTCTGCAAGAGCAGACGGTGCTCTTAACTGCTGAGCTATCTCTCCAGTCCCAGATAAGTCTTTCTTGACCAGAAATATTAACACCCTTTACCAATGTCATTGCTACTCAGTAATTGGCCTTTTTTATGCCAGTTGGTAGTGTGTTTTAAAGGACGTTCATAGCAGGTGCAGTGCCTTATAATCATGTATCTTCTTCATTCAATACATGTTGTTGGAAAACATCACAAATCATTCACATTAATTCATTCCAAACAATTAAATTCAAGGTTTGTAGCCATGAAGAGAAATTTAGTATTGGAAATTATAGAGGAACTTGGGAGAATGTGTCAGATGGCTGGTGGCTAGAATTGATTTTAAGCATTGTGGACCAGATCTTATCCTAAGTAAATGTAAATGAAGTTGTTATCTCTTAAAAAAATAAATAAATTGCCAGGGTATGGTGGTGCAAGCCTTTAATCCCAGCACTTGGGAGGCAGAGTCAGGTGGATCTCTGTGAGTTCAAGGCCAGCCTGTTCTACATAGTGAGTTCCAGGACAGCTGGGGCTATAGGGAGACCGTCTCAAAAAGACCAATAAATAAATAAATAAAATAAAATAAAAATAAATGTAGAATGGATGAGGGTAATAGAAACAACCATTTGAATAGCTTAGTTATAATTATTGTGGACAAGACTCAAGACTGACTGTTAAAATTAGTGGGTGAAACTTTAGCAAGGAAAAGAATAGTTGTATTACCTCAAAGTGGTTAGTAAATGTTTTGCTGACTTTAATACATTCTCTGATAGCCCTTCCCTTGGGAAGGCCAGTTTTGTTTGTCATCTTCTGTCACCCTAAGAGAACACCTGCAAACAACAACTTACATGGGATTGAAGGCATGTGCCACTATGCAGGACCTGGATGTAACCTTCTTATTGTCTTGTCAGTGCAGCATAATAACCTTCAGGTTATTACTAGAAACGCTAGCCTCGATTGCTTGGGTAAAGTGGTATCTGCTAGATTTCTTTAGAATCTGTAAATGGCAGAAACCTCCCCAACCCCAGGATAAGCCCAACATAGGGGCAGAGTCACTGCTGTGCACAGCCTGGTATCTCAGAGGAGGGGTTTGTGGGGAATGCAGCCAACAAAGAATGTTAAATGTGCTGATCACATCAAGAAGTCCTCTGTCCTCCAATCTCCTCCACCATCTGCTCACCACCATGGTTCATGGTTGGGGACCACAGGTTCATGGGAGGGGACCACAGCTCCATCTCATAGGAGGGGGCCACAGCTCCAGGATCACAGGAGGGAACCATAACTTCTTGGCTCATAGTTTTGAAAATTGAAGTCCATGATTATCTGGTTCCATTGCTTTGAGGCCTATGGCAAGGCAGAAATATGGTGGAAGGGCATGGTGGAAGAAAGCTGCTCACTTCATGGAAAGCAAGAGACAGCCAATGAGGAAAGGCCCAGAAAGAAAAATATGTCCTTCAAAGGTACACCTCCATGGACCCACGTCCTCTATGAGCTATGAACTCATCAACAAATTCACCCACTGATGAAGTTATAACTCTTATAATCCATCACCTCTTAATAACACCACTATCTGGGGAACAAGTATTCAACAAGAACTTTCTGGTATGACACTTTCCTATCTACAACACGACCCAGACCTTGAATGTTAACTAAACTTAGTAACTCATCTCTAATGAATAGAATATGAAAAGGAAAAAAAATGTAATTTTATGCTAAGAAATCTAGCAGACACCACTTTACCCAAGCAATTGAGGCTAGCGTTTCCAGTAATAACTTGAAGGGTACATATTGTTATTATGCTGCACTGACAAGACACAATAAGAAGGCTACTTCCAGGTCCTGTATAGTGCCACACGCCTTTAATCCCAGCACTTGGGGGGCAAAGACAGGTGGATCTCTGTGAGTTCAAGGCCAGCCTGGTCGTCTACATAGTGAGTTCCAGGACAGCTGGGGCTACAGGGAGACCCTGTCTCAAAAAAAAAAAAAAAAAAAAAAAGAAAAAGAAAAAAGAAAAAAAGAAGGCTGCTTCCCCTCTGTGGTATTCGAAAAATTCCATAACCTCAGTTAAGTCATAAGAAAATATCACATAAACCCAAACAGACATTTTCTATAAAATATCTGACTAGCACTTTTCAAAAATGTCAAATGAATTCCAGGCCAGCTGTGACTATAGAGAGACCCTGTCTCAGAAAATAAAACAAAAAGGTGTCAAGTTAATGGAAAACAAAGAAAGCCTGAGAAATACTTACATATTGGCAGAGAACAGCCATCATAATGACCAAATGCAGTGTGGTATTCCACTGAATTCTGGAGTCAAAACAAAAAGACAAACACAAGTGGAAAAACTGGAACATTCAAATAGCATGTGGTTCAGTTACTGTGCTATGCCAAAGCTGACTTCAGCTTGATAAACATTCCACAGCTCGTACAATGGTAACATCAGCAGAAGTCAGGTGAACGGGGTGCAAGAATTCTCTGTACTGTCTTTACAACCTGTCTATGTATCTAACATAGTCTCAAAATAGGGTTAGGAAGATGTTATATTAAAATGCTTTCAGTAAGCTGGGCATGATGGCACACACTTGCAAACCCAGCATTTGGGAGGCAAAGGCAGGAATTTGAGGCCAACCTGATATATATAGCAAGTTCCATGTTAGCCAGGGATATCTAGCAAGACCCTGTCACAAATAATTAATAATAATATGTCTTCAAAGTCACAATAAAAATTATGTCTAATCAAGGGCCTTATTATTGGATTCCTAAAACAAATGAGAAACCAGCATAAATAAATCCAAAAAATTAAGATACAAAGAAATATAGACCACTATACTCTTTTTTGTTGAAATATCAGCCATATGCCATCTCAGGTCTGTCAACAAAGCCTGGAAGCATTACTTGCAAATCATGTGAGATTAGAACTCGTTATTTTGTCATTTAGCTTGCTTTTCATATCTCAGAAAGAACCTCAAAAGATCGTGTTATTTGTGACTGGAAAACATTTTGCTTCCAACTAGGCCCAAAGACCCATAAAAAACATTAGCTTTAGTATAAAGTAGTTTATTATCTTTCTTTTTTTCTTCTTTCTTTCTTTCTTTCTTTCTTTCTTTCTTTCTCTCTTCTTTCTTTCTGAGATGGAAGTGTGTAGTGTTATATTTGTATAACTTTAAAATTCTAAAAGCTTTACATAAAATTGTTCCATAAATGCAAAAAAGACCACAAAAATATTTTATTCATAGTAGGAATAATCTGTTGAATGAGGAGAGGGAGTAGAAGAGGTGTGAGAGGATTTTCCAGGCCATCCTGGGGAATGAGGTTTGGTGAAGCACCTACCTGTGAACTGTAAGTGAGAAGCACCTGAGAGCAACTGTATTCTGTATGGAAGTGAGTGACAAGTGCTAAAGTTCAGGGTGAGATTTCTATGTCAGGTGCACAGCATGAAAATAGGCAAGTAAGTAATAATTGGTGCATCCATTTACAGTGGTGCATTTCACATGGCAGGTCCAGTTAGCATCCTCCTTTTTACACTTGGGAAAGTGAAGCTGAGAAACACTTGAGGAGGGACTGGAGAGATGGCTCATCAGTTAAGAGCACTTGCTGGCTGTTCTTGCAGAGGACCCAGGTTCGATTCCCAGCACTCACAAGGCAACTAACAACTGTCCATAACTCCAGTTCCAGGGGATCCAACACCCTGGGCACAGATAAGAGAATTCCTGAAGAATTTCAGATCCACTTTTTCGTTCTTTGTGATACAGGGTCTCACTCTGAAGCCCAAGCTGGCCTGGAACTAACTATGTAGCTCAGCTTGGCCTCAAACTCATGCTGATCCTCCTGCCTTAGCCTCCCAAGTTCTAGGCTTGCTGGTGTGAGCAGACGTGGTTTATTCCCAAGATCCACTTTAACACCGAGATTGCATTCCAGGCTTAAAGGTTGGAGCAAACAAGAAATTACCGATGAAAGAAAAGTGAGAGGAATTCTGCCACCACCACAAGGATCAAAGCCCCATGCTACTGCATGTCTGTGTTCACTGCCTGCATCCCCAAAGAAAGGGTGTCAAGCAGCCCCAAAGAAGGCTGCTTCTCTTCAGCCTAAAAAGGGTCCCTTAAAGAAGGGAGAGAAGGTACCCAAAGGGCAAAAGGGAAAGATGAGTCAGACAGGGATAGAAACAGCTTTGCAGAAAATAGAGATATCAAAATAAACCAGGCACACAAAACTGAGGCGATGCCAAGGGAAGTAGATGTATTTTCCACAGCTGTGTACCTCTGAGGACCTGAACAGTTTGCAATACTGACTTTAAAATCAAGTTTTACAAAAATGCAGAGTTTTGTTTCAGTTTTTCCTTAACTATGAGGTTAGCACACAGAGCACTTCATCGTTTTGAAAGGGGAGGAGCATGCATTACTCACAGAATGTCTCCAGAGCTGAATTGATACAGGGAAAACACCTTTCCCTGCTAGTCTTGAGAGATTTCCTCCTGGCTCCCAGGGGAGATTCCCTGGGAATCTATTGTTGACACACAGTCACCTTGGAGACTTTGTAGTGTGGGAAAACTTGAAATTCATTTTTATGTCTTCCTCTAACTCCACCATCAATATAGACTTAACTCCCTTAAAACCAAAACTCCATTGGGAGCTGACCCCCTAAAATTGGTATTTCCCATGTGTCAGGCAATCTGGACTTGGCAGTGATATCAGTGAGATAGAGTTCCTCAAAAGAGCAGTGGTTCCTTTTCTAAAAGATTGTGGATTTTCAGATTGGTAATTCTGCCATTTGTATTTCACTTTCTGGAAGTCAAGTTCAGCTTGTGAAAAGTTGTTAAGCAGTATGCTGTCTATGAACTGTCAACCTTACTCTAAACCCTTACTCTAAACTTTCCCTGTTAAAAGCATCAAATGAAGGCTTCATTGGATTATATAGTAGCTTTCTGGGTTTGGTAGTCCATATAAGAAGGAAGCTTGCAAGTTCTTGTATGCTGTTGATGATTGTTTGCTTCTATCCTGTCTGAAATACCATGATTGTTTATGAAAATTCTCATGAATTGTTGGGCATGGTGGCTCATGCCTTTAATCCCAGTACTCTAGAGGCAGAGGCAGGTAGATCTCTGCAAGTTCGAGGCCTGCCTGATCTACATAGCGAGTTCCAGGTCAGCTGGGGCTACAGGGAGACCCTGTCTTAAAAAGACAAAAATATCACAAATAAAATAATAAAAACCAAAATCAAACAAAAATAAAAAGGAATTCAAAAAAAAAAAAAAAAGGAAGAAAGAAAGAGAAAGAAATAAAGAAAGAAAGAAAGAAAGAAAGAAAGAAAAAAAGAAAGGTAGGTCTCTTGAATAAAGCCAGAAACCATTTGGCATGGAAAAAAATAGAAACATAAAAGTGCTTTTCCTCTCTCTGTCTCTCTCCGTCTGTCATGCAGGCACACACATTAATCCTAGCAACTCACAGTTTACATGGAAATGGAGCGATCACAGGCTCCATGCCTACAGAAACATACACACACCTACAGAAATAGATCTTGACTTTTCTAAATGCCAGCCTTTTGACTAGTTCTGTCCTGCCTGAGCTTGGAAACTGGCAGAGTGTCCTCTGGTAGGAAAGAGATTGAAGGCTCTTTCACGTCAAAGGAGTGGTACCTGGGAGTGCTTTGCAGCTTTCACACCTGTCCACTAAAGATCCAGAGACATATTTGTGTCCTTATGTCTTCCCTGTTGTCCACAATGGGTAAGGCCTCCTGTTTCATGCTCTGCTAACACTCATCCTTCTCCGTAGTATGTTTTATGGAAATAATTAGCAAACCATTTAAATTCATTTGTCTGAATTCTGTCTCCCTACTTTTACCTAAGTTCCATAAGGATAGACCTTTTTCTTTTTCTTAATAGTATCCTTCAGTGTTTAGAGCAATACTTCACAGATAGTAATGCTCAACACTTTTGATTTTAAAAAAGCCACAGAAGCATGAGGCTCCCTGTCTGCCCAGTCACTTGTGGGAAGCTAGTCTACTTGACCTTCTGTACACTTTCCAGATAGGACCTAAGCCCTGTACACCAGCCGAACAGGTTGGAGCTCTAACCACTCTATTACCTAGTGTTTACTAGGTTCTGTCTCTGGGTCTGGATCCTGCTTTCCTCTAAAGATGGACCAACACATGCTGATCAGGACTGATGTCTGTGAAATTAGATCCTTACACTAAAGATAAAGAAGCTCAGAAACTCTTGGTTTGTTCTTCTGCCTCAACTACCACAGAACTGAATGCTTCCCACACTCCATCTCTACCTGATCATTATTTCTCTGCTGGAACTTCAATTCCCTGTGGCAGAACATAGCAGATATGAGTCACATGGATGCTAAGGAGGCAGAGGAGTACTCGGTGCTAGATACTGTCCATTTTGAACATAGCAACATTTTATGTTTATTGGTTCTTTTATTTTCTTTCTTTTTCTTTTCTTTTTTTTTTTTTGAGACGGGGTCTCATGTAATTCAGGATGGCTTCAAAGCTAAGTATGGCTTTGAACTCTTGATCTTCCTGCCACCATTTTCTGAGTGCTGGGATTACAACCATCACAGCTTGTTTTACATAATGCTAGGGACTGAACCTAGGGCTTCATGAATGCCAACAAGCACTCTTCTGATTGAATTATATTTCCAGCTCTTCTTTGATTTATTTTATTATTTTTGTTATTTTGTTTTTGTTTTTGAAACAGGTCTCACTATGTAGCTCTGGTTGGTCTGGAACTCATTATGTAAACCAGGCTGGCCTTGAATTCCCAGAGATCTGTGGGGTCTCTCCCTTCCCTCGTGGGTCATTGGCCACCAGTCCACGAGGACAAAGGGAGCAGAAGTGATGAATGGGGTCAGGGATGGCCAGTGAGCACTGACGGAAGAAAGCCCTTCTGGGGAGGCAGGTTCAGTGATACAAACAGCTCCAGAGTCAGTGAAACAGCTCCATTTATTCAGTGGGGGTTAGGGAAAATATAGTGTGGAGGCAGTAGCCAATGCTTCAGCTGATAGGTGCTCATAGTATGCTTTATTTACATGTGGCAGTAGGCTCCTATCATCCGACTATTGGGCAATGCCTAATTATCATATAGAAAAAAACCTGGGAGTAGTTTTTACTCCAGGTAACTACACCAAAGGTCATGTTTTAAATGAGGCCAAGCATCCGTGCTTGGCAGCACTTTCCAGGTAAGTCAGGCAGGAAACACCTGCTGAGAAAGGAGCCAACCTTAACAGCAGGGTTCCACCTGCCTCTGCCTCCGCAGTGCTAGGATTAAGGGCATGTACCACTATGCCCAGATCTTTTTTGATTTTTCAGTATTTTATTTGTT